TTGATTTTTGGGGGTTAATTTTATACCCTGCTGCTTTGCCAAAGTTTTGAATCAGCTTGAGTAATTTGGGAGTGGAGTCTATGGGATTCTTTAAATACAAGATTGTTTGGCAGCTTTTAGCTCAGGGTGGTGCAAACAGTGTGACGGATCCTGACCAGTTATTATGACTCTGTGGTCAGAGTGGTCTGGTGTCCTGGCCTGGGTTTAGGCCCCTTGGCAGGTTCCTGCTATGTGAAACAGAGCAGTCTATAGTGTTCTGGGCCAGATCTGTGTCTGAAGTAGGCAGATTCCCACAAGTCATAGTGGGGTGGTTGTCCCAGTCCAAGTAATGGAATGGCATCTACTTCAAGTGGGGAAGGAAACAATGTTCCAGTGCCTGGACCTTGTTTGAACCCTGAAGGGGGCAAGGTTACTACTGCAGTGCCAAAGTTTTTTTCCATCTGACTCTCTGGACCAGAGGTGAACAATGGAGGGGTTGTGTTCCCACAGGCAATGTGGGGAAATTGTCCCCGCTGGCTTTTAGCAGGTCAGATTTTTTCCCACCTTTAGCAACGGCTGTGGGGAATGCAGGATCCCAGGGCCAAACTAATATTGGGTCTGGTGCTGCTGGCCATTGTATATTTCTGGCTCTGAGTCATGGTTGTGGCCTGGTGATCTTCTGCAAGCTGATGAAGTGGGAGAAAGTGCTCAGCCTCTTTGCCCTCTTTCAGTAATGCGTCCCTTTGGGGGAGGAAGAAGGAGTTCTGAGCATCTATGCCAAGCACTCTGGGTCACCACTAGTTCTGGTTTCCCATGGAAGGGGTTCCCCAGCAGGCTACTCAGGATTTTGGCACTCATTTTAAGCTGATCAGCAGTGTCCTTATGTGTTAGGTATAAATTCTTCATTCTTGTGATTTTCTATCTGTATATATATTCATTGTTGTCATTCTCTTGAAGGGAAACGTTTTAGGGCCCTAAATCAAAGAGAAATCGGTTGATTCCCTGTTTCTACTCTGCCATCTTTCTTCTGTCTAGTTTTGTTTCTTTTCTTTCTTTCTTTGTTTTGTTTTGTTTTTCTGGAGTTTGAACTTTAGGTCCTTCAGGTGCCATTTGAGCCACACTCAAATCTTCACTTGTGGTATGTTAAAAAATAAGATCTCCAATATATATGCTCAGACTTCCAGGATCCTGATCCTGTTAATTTCAGCTCAGAATTTCCTCAAGCTATCTTTTTGATCTCCACTTCTGTGGTATATAGGCATGAACCACCATAGCCACCTAACATTTTTTTCACTATCTCTGTTGGTTATCAGAAACAAAGATAGGTGTGTACATACCTACTTCGTTTATGTTAAAGTTGGGAAGGAAAAGATTATTCCCATTGTATAGATAGGTGAAACAAAGCACTTCGAACCATTTGTTTAACCAAAAATATGTATCTAAAAGAATCAGCATTGTAGTTTATGAACAAAAATGATTTCTTCTCTGAGACACATAAAACCTCCATTATTTTATACTAGAAAGAGAGTGATATACCAAGATTATTTATTACTGGACAAGTTAGTAGAGCTATGCTTATTCTATTTATTGGTTTGTGATTAAATTAATTGCCAAAAGGCATTAATCTAACAGTGCAAATGTAACTTGATTGCACCTACCTGTAAAATTTTTCAAGTTTTGATTATCAATGATTTAAGATTTGTAAGTGAAATTTTATTTTGAGGCATATTGAAAAATCCAAATGCACTTTTTTAAGTCATAAATTCAACTTAATCAGAGAAATGTGTTAGAGAAGTCATACACTATTACTTAATAATCATGGTTTTTTGAAATACAGACAGTGGTTGACTACTCATATCATACTTTTTTATACCATCTACTGTGAATGTTGAACTTTAAGACAGCTCATTTACAACACATTTCTAGTCATTTCTCTGCACAAAGAATAAAATGATCTTATGAAATACATAATTAGGGAAGTGATGCTGAATGAAAAATTGTGGGGCACATGACAAGGTTAAGCACAAATAGCTATAAACTTAATGAATTTTCTAGGCAGCAGCTTTCTTCCTATTATGACTATTAAAGAAAGATAAAATAAATATGGTTTGTGAGCTTGTATTCTTTCAAACTTTCTACAATTTTTGTCTGTAGTAGATAGATTTTTTTACGATTTTTAATGGGATATGCTTTTGTGTCAATTGTACCATAGTTGAATGCTCAAAAAAATAGGTTATATATGGTCATTTGTAATGTTATAATGACAAATTCTAGCTAGAACTAATGTTGGGTAAAGAATACTCTGAAGTCAGTTTGACATGTTTGAAAAAGTGCTTTCTTCCCTTCTTCTGTAGAAAATTTGGAGCAGAAACAAGTGAATTTGTATGTGTTCGTAGAAGAAGTAGGAAACATAATGAAACTCCACATGAAAGTATAATTTGCCCTTTAAAGTGGTTAGCTTTCAAACAGGCACACAAAGTTTTCAGCTTCTGAATCTGCTGTTTTCCTTCTTTGTTTCTCCTCACATTCCACAGTCTTTATTGATGCTGTTCTACAGAGAGGAAGCCTTGCCACCTTCTTCATCTCTGATTTTCTGTGCTGTGTTTTTTATACAGTAAAGACAGGTGCTGTGTTAACCTTACCATACCAACAATCAGAACACCACCTCCTAGAGTCAGTGAAGGCCAAAATAAACAATGGAAGATAACCATTTGGTCATACTTTTTTGTAAGAATGACATCTTTAGATTGGTTGTCTGGACTGTAGAAACATGAAAAAGGGGTCCCATTTTTGTTATCAAAGAATTCCTTTATGTCCAGAGCACTGTTGAGCAAATCTATTCCATCTTGATGGCACTTAGGTGTATAGAAGCACTAGAAATGGGAAGAAGAAAAGATAAGAGCTCTGTCACCAATATGGAATTGTTAATATTTTTAATTCTGTGATTGCTTCAGGCTAAAGTTATGAGTAAAGTTTTCCAATATTATAAGGCAGTACAAAAAATTACATAGCTCATAGGCAGGGCTGGCAGAAGGGCATAGAATGAAATGGTCATTTCCAGGTACTAAGCCAAAGCTTGAGGTTTGGTACTATATTTATTAGGTTCTTGGAGCACTGTGTTAAGGGGCTATGTTTGGAAACTTAGAAATGAATGCATTCCAAATCAAAAATAGAAAACATATTGACTAGTTCTTAAATAACCCAAATTGGAGCTGGGACTGTTTCTTAGTGATAGAGTGCTTGCCTAGTATGCATGAGGCCCACACATAAAACTCACATATATTTTTTAAAGTACATCAACGTATAGTGTGTCCTCTGGTGCAAATTTTATGCTTACAGATAAATACAAGTTAAAGAATATTAATCAGAACTTGGGAACTTCTTCTTAGGCTGGTTTTCTACCACCTAAACGACAACTCTAGTCCTTTACACCTAAGTACACTGGACTACATTCTTCCTATTTAAGTATCAGAGTAACCAGATTTTTGTTGATTTATTTGAGGTCTCCATACTTCTAATCAGGCTGAATAATCAATACCTACCTTCTGAATAACTAGGATTATGGTCATGAGCCACTACCCTGGCTTAAGTGTTTACTTTTGTAGTAAGAATTGCTCATTAATTTGAGGTAGAATGATACATTGTAACTTTTTTGAGGTCTTGGGAGGAGTTTAAACTCAGAGTCTCATAGTCACTGAATTTTTGTCTACCATTTGATCCATATCTCCATTCCAGCTTTTTCCTGGTTATTTTGGAGATGAAGTCTCATGCATTTTTCTGCCTGAACTGACTTCAAAATACAATGTTCTGAATTTCATTGTTTTAATATTGTTGCTACAACAGAGATTAAAAAGTTCAAAATGGAAGCTGCATACTAATGACTATTGTCTGAGTCCAAGTGGTAAGGCTGGCATAATACTTCTTTTTGTGTATGCCATTTCTCCGAGAATGCTTTTAGCTTCATTTCTCCTGGTTGGAAAGCAATAAAAATGTTAACTACAGGCTGAGTATGAAGGTTCACCAGTTGGATAACTAGACAGAAAAATAGATAGACAGCTAGAGATCCATAGATTAGATCACTAGGATAAATGGCTCTGATATATGCACCTTGCTTTGTTCAGTTTGCCATAGAAGAATTACAGTATCAAGAATGTTCTAGGTGAACTTTCTATTACCTTGGAGTTTATCTTGACAGCTTCTTCATTATAATGTAGGAAAGCTTTCTGACCTGAATGGGTGAGATTCACAAACACCTGAAGACATGGGTACTTCCCCTGCCCATGGCAGTCCACTCCACAAGTAAAGGCACAGTCTAGCCAGTCATCCATGATATGTGTGTAGATGGAAGTACAATTCACTTCTTCTCTCTAGTGCTTCAATATAAAAAAATATTCTCTATAAGTGAGGATGTGAAAATATCTAGTAGAAAATTTAATTATGAATTCTGAGGTCTTGTTCAGTTCAAGATATTAATGTAGAGACATTATTAATGAAGTCACATAATTATCAGGGAGTATGGAGGACATATAGATGGAATAAACAGCAGCATACTGCCAAGTTCTATCTGTTAATGCTGACATATTTCTTACTTTATCAATTCTATGACTCCCTTAGATGGATATTTTCCCCCCTTAAAAATCACCAGTCTTAAGTTTGTTTGAAGAGTCTTCAGTCTGGTAAATATAGATTCCAGGGCTTCACTTCAAGAAATTTTGCCTCAGGACTTAGTTGAAGCCCAGGACCCTGTACATTTAATATATAAGATGAAGTATTTGATGGTACAATCTATAAGCAATGTGACCCTAAACACCATCCCACCAAGTTCCATGCTGGGGAATACATTCTATCATCTCAAGATGCAACCATGGGCTTTTCCTGATAAAAACATGCCTTTGGAATGAATAACTGACTATGGAAGTTCTGACAACAAGATATATTCTGATTCCAAAGGGTAAAATGTGAACTGATAAGAAATGCCTGTTCACTTTGCTTTTGCTATCAATTCTTTAAAGTCAAGAACTACATTTCAGTTGTCTTTATTTGAAGTGTAAGGCACAGTGTATTTCACTGTGTTTTGAAATTCTCTGTATTATGCTGAAATAAATTTTAATTGCAAAACATTCTTTAGCAATTGCATATATAATGTACTAGGTACAAAGTTTCTGCCATGAAAACCTTTTGATCTATTGACAAAGGACCTACATGTTTGAAATCATTTGATGGGATGATATAAACAAGGCTGAGAGGAGATGATACAAGTGCCTCACTCTCCTATCTACATAGATTTCTATGCTTATTTCATCTTGTCTTAAACAAGAAGTTGGACTGGCAAGCTTTACAGACAAAATGCTTGAAAAGCATCATTTGTCTAGATTTATACTATACCTCAGTATTATCAACTATACTAATTGCTTCTCTTTGTTAGTATAATTTATTTGAGATACACTATATTCATAAAGTTCTGGCTTTTTTCATGTATATACTAATTTAAAGTATGCATCTTGAAATGATATTTTATATTTACCTGCTTATCTGTGAGAAGTTAAATTCTCTAAATCTGGACCAAGTACAAAACTGACTATAACCTGAGTCTTCCTCAGACTTAAGAAATAGCTAGAGTGTAGAATATGATATTCTGACCTGTGTGCAAGGGCCAGGCAGAGCCTTCCCTCTGAGCATGTCACTCTGATAGAATTGTGTGATTTGCCTACAGCAGTGACAAATCCATTATTTGGCTGGAGGATGAGAGATTGAGAGCTTGAGGATTTGTCTGAGCTACTCAAGCCTTTTTTCCTTTCTTTTAGGTTGAACCCAGGTTTTTATACTTGCTAAACAAATGTTCTACCACTTTTTAATTTTGCCCAGTCTGTTCTTAGGTCTTTACCTTCCCACTTCTACTTCCCAAGTAGAATTATAGATGTGTGTCATCACAAAGCCTTGTTAACTATCATCTTTTGTGGAGAAAAGTTACTCTGAGATGGCACAAGATGATAAGGCAGGGTAGAGGTGAGACCTCAAATTAGTACTCCAGCATTTAATTTTGAAGAATTTTCCAGAAAGGCTTAGGTAAGTACAAACAGCAGCTTGATTCTGGCTTGCAGCAAGATTATTCTCAAAACATCTCCCAAATATATATTAAAGAAAATCTCACCTTCCCTGTGGCTATCATTGTGTTCACTCAAAAATAAGTTGAGAGATTTTAAAAATGGGTACTAGAATAAAGAAATGAAACTTAGAATGAATTCTAGAGTGAGATAAAAAAATTTAACATGAAGCACCTCTTATAATTAGTAGTGCTAAGCAGCCAAAGAAATGAAGAAAATACAGCCAGAGGTAGGCACTATGGTTTACCTCTCTAATCTTAGTCAGGAAGCTGAGATGTGAGGATTGCAATGTGAAGTGAGCATGGGCAGGAAAAGTTTGAAACATGTCCAATTCACCCAGAAAATGTGTGTGGCTCAAGTGCTAGAGTGCCAGTGAGAAAAAAAAACAAAAAACAAAAAACCAGCAAGAATGTAAAGTTCTGAGCTTAAGCCTCAGTACTGGCACAAAAACAAGGAAAAGGGAAGTAAAGGAAGGAAGGAGAGAGAGACAGAGAAACAGAAACAGGAAGGAGGGAAAGAAGAAATGAATGAAGGAAATAGAAAATGAAAGGATGAAATAAAGGAAGAAAGAAAAAAGGAAGGTAGGAAGGAAGGAAAAAAATAAAAAATAAAGCACAGCATTCAGACAGGCAAATAGAGATAAATTGGGCACGAGCAAAACAAATTATCTTAGTCCTAATATCAGAGAAAAACTTCCATATAATGGTGTTCTACCACTATCTGCTGTGGTTGGTGATCTCTGCTTTTTCCTCCAAACATTGATAACTAATGAACAGTAAGAGATAAATACAAAAATAAGCTATTCATTTCCTTTGGTTTCTTCTCATTCTTCCTGGGTGTTGGTTACTTTTTACATGTCAGGTGTGAAAGCATCACTTGCTTTTATATGTATTTAATATGCAAAGCTAGTAAAGGAAAAAGAAGCTGTATTTATTGAGGAACTACTATGTGTGAGGTAGACATTTTCAAATTTAAAAACTTGTATTGTGCTTGCATAGAACATTTAACATTTTCCTGAGAAGTCAAGATTTTAATAGAATTTGTGACCTGAGCAGGTATCTGGCTTTGTTGATCATATGTTAAGGTATATGGGAAGAGGCATAAAGGACTAGACTTTAAGAAACCAGAGCTAGGCTCCTCACCCTTTGCCATTGTATCTGATTGTGATCCAGTTAGAAACTGGATCTTTGATCTATGTCTTTTACCTGAGCATAAAAGGCTTCAAAGTAGTTGTTCCAAGCAAGAAGAACATTAGGACTGAGAAGCCCATCATAGCAAACCCCAGTAGCATGGCTCTGTCCTCTCCAGCATTAGATGGAAGCTTCTTGTACTTGTCTTCTTGTACATCACTGTAGTCTCTGTAGCTCTTTCTCCCTGAGGTAGAAAAAGCTGTCCTTTGGGGAAAGAGAAGATATTTCAATAAGGTCATAATAAGGTGGCAATATTTACCAACATAGATATAGAGGGTAATCCTCTTTTTGGTCTACCTGTGGGTAGTGAGCAGGTTCAGTGTGACACAACTGGATTCCCACCTTCAGCTTATTTTAACTAAGCTAAAATGATGTGGTATCAAATATCTTTATACATATTGTAATTACTAAGGAATATCATATCTGGTAGAAATGTTTAGATATCAAGTTAGTCAATGACCAAAAAATTATCTATATTTAACTTTCATTTCTTTTATGTAAATGAGTGTGATCAATGCATTTATTTTTCAAAAATACTGTGCCTGTTTCTAAAATAATTTTATGTTCTCTTATAAATCGTGTTCTTAAAGCCTTACTAGAAAAGTTTGCATTTAGAATTGGCAGCATCCTGAAATAGGTCAATTATCTCCTTTCAATAATTCACTGGTGGGCAAGGCAGCATTGCCTGCCTGGGCACTGTGTCCACAGTGCAGTCTACTCAAGAGTTATGAAGGATTGGAGATCAGGAGAAAAATGAGAGGAGTAGCTGGGTGCTAACTGAGCTCTCTCGAAGAAGTAAGTTTTAGTGTTTCAGTGAAAAATAAAAGGCTACAGTGTCACACCAAGTGTCCCATCATCATACATAGAGTTTGGCCAGAGAGGAAAAATTCAGGCAACCTGTTTAAGGACACAGATTTGAGCACATGTTGGTAACTGCAGTGGTGGCAGTGGTGGTGGCTATGGCTGCCACCATAGCACCAGACAGAGCCTGACATAGGCTCCAGAGATTGAAAGTGGCTTCTATGTACCGCCAGCATGAACTGACAAGGAGTGGAAATCTTTATCGTGCTGACCACAGATGAAAGCAGATTGCAGATATCTTGAATACCAAGGGAAAGGCATGAGTAGCCACAAAACAGCATTTGGAATGTAGTTCCCCACCACTGGAGAAGAATGCCATCTTTGATACTGGCAAAGACCAGGCAAGAGCAGCTAGCAGATAACTCAGGCCTTAGAAGTAGACACTGCCAAGCCATTTTTCAACAGGTCAAAGGATCCTGAGCAGTGGAGCTCAGCTCCACCAGGGGATAGTTGCGCTTCTTAGGTCAGGGAACCCTCACCTGACTTTCTTGATCAGGTAAACAGAGCCAGAGATGGCCCTGCCCCTCTGCAGCATGGGAAGCTCTCCTGATTGCAGGAGGTTAAAAAAAATTGAAACTAGATACAGTGTAAAATCTGAAAGTGGCTCCAGGGTGGGCCACAAGAGTATCTCAGGACCTAGCCCCTCAGGGAAAAGCTACTGATTCCAGACAGGCCACAAGCTCACCCACATTCAAGCTCTTTCGCAGTGACTCTAAGCTACAGAAAATAGCCACCTCCCTCCTATGTGACACACAAAGCAGGTCACCCTTCCACTGAATTACTCTGGGAGAAGGTTCAAAAAGACCCCGTGCCTGTAAGGCAGAACTTCTTTCTGCCTGCTCAAACCAATTTGAGAGAAAAACTAGCCACAGGAAAACCAAATACCACAAGTAAATCAGAGGCTCCAGCAAGAGACTGTATACAGACACGGGGTGATACAAGATCCCCAAAATAAATCAAATAATTATTTTTCTACTTGATTTTTAAAAAATTTTTCTACTTTGTTCATTAGTTTTATTTTGCTTTTTCTTTTCCATCTTGTGATGTTTCTTTTTTCACTTTAGTTAATTGCTGTTCTATTCATCTCCAGATATGTACACGTCTTTGTTTATTAGGCCTCATCCTTCATTGTGTGCATAATTAATTCAGACATTGATTACTTAATTTGCAATTTTTCAACCTTAGTTCCTTTAAACGTTGTATTATTTATTTATACTTACATAATTTTTATGTTTTTATTTTCATTTTTATTTCTTTATTTCTCCTTTTTTCTCCCTTTTCCTTTCTCTGAATTTAGGTCTTGGTTATCTTCCCTCTCTTCTTTTCCCTCCCTACATTCCTCTAATCTTATTTTCTCCTCACAATTCTCCTTTATCTCTTAATTTCTGGTCTCCTGCCTTTTTTGATTTTCTTGGTGCATTGATCCCTCATTGAAGGTTTTTGAGCTAAACTGTATCTGTACTCACTTTGAGTATCAAAAATATCTGTGCAACTACAGTGTTCTAGGTTGGTGCTTGCCTTAAAATAGTGTTCTAGCATGGAATTCATTTTGCTTTCACACCCAAATGGGAAGAACAAGCTGTAGAAACACAAGAAAAGTGGCAAGTCGAAGAACTTCAACTCCCACTCAAGATAAACAGGCAACAGAGCAGTTATTGAATAATCCAGAGAAGAGTTTTCAAAATGCTCTACAAACCCTACTGGTAAACATGCTGAATGAAAAGATTGAAAGCCTGCAAAGGGCTCTGAATATGATAGGGCAAGGCAGGAGGATAACCAATGATTAGTAAGAGAAATACATGGAATCCACAAACAGAAAGCTGGAGGACTTCATGGAATCCACAAATAGAATGCTGAATGAATTCCAACAGAAGGAAAGGGAGTCCAATGAAATTATAACCAGTCAAGTAAGGGATTTGAGAATGAACACTGAAAACAAAATCAAGGAGGTAAAGAAATAAATACAAGATCTAACACAAAACTTCAAAAAGAAATTGAACGAATTATATTTGACCAATTAGGAGGAAAGGAAAGAAAAAACAGAGTAGAAAGATTTTGACAGTAGGTTTGAATATGCAGAAGATTGAATCTCTGCACTGGAAGATAGCCTAGGCATTATAGAGAAAGAAAATAGAAGTATTCAAAACAAATCCAAGAAATATGCTAGACAGATAAAAGACACAATTAGAATTCTGGTCTAATTTAATGGTAATAGGTGTAGAGGAAGGCCCAGAGACAGAAACTAAAGGGCTAAAAAATTTATTTAACAGAATCCTTGCAGAGAACTTTCCAAACATCCAAAAAATAGGCTAATTCAGATTCAAGAAGCTTTTAGAACTACAAATGGACCAGACCAGAACAGGACATCCCACCATCACATTATAATCTGCACAGGATCCATAGAGGCCAACAAAAGGATCCTTAAAGCTGTCAGGGAGAAATATCAATCACCTATAAAGGAAAACCAATTAGAATAACTAGAAATTTCTCAGCAAAGACTACAAAAGTAAGAAGAACCTGGAATGATGTATGCCATGCCCTAAAAAACAAACACCTATCAACCAAGAATAGTGTACCCAGCTAAATTCTCCTTCATAACAGAGAGACAAAGAAACATTCCACAGCAAAGAAAAATGGAAACAATATATCTTTACCAAACCAGCATTACAAAAGATACTTAAAGATGTCCTACACATAGGAAACCAACAAGAGCACAATAAAGGCAGAGAAATGCCCCACACACAGAGAATCAGATAATCATAGTAAGAACCCAGTAAGTACAGCCCCTAAGAAGCTGGATAACGTGGCAGGAATTTCCAAAAACCTCTCAATCCTAACTCTCAATATTAATGGATTTAACTCTCCAATTAAGCTACAGTCTAGCTGGATCAAAAAGCAAGATTCATCTATCTGCTGCCTTCAAGAGACACACCTTGGCTACAAAAACAAACATATTCTGAGCATGAAAGGCTGGAACAAATTCTACCAAGATAATGGCCCCCATAAACAGGTGGGAATTGTAATCCTAATACCAGAAAAAATAGACTTAAAGTACAATTAGTGAGAAGTAATAAAGAAGGACATTACATACTAATAAAGGGATCTCTCAGACAGGAAGATATAACAATTCTGAATATTCACCAAATACAACCCAAATTTATCCAAGAAACACTACTTTCCCTAAAACTACGCATAGATCCAAAGATATTAATTGTTAGGGACTTTAACACACCACTCTCCCTGATGGATAGACCAGCAAAAACTCAATAGGGCAACTTCAGATCTAAACAACTGCATAGACCAACTAGACTTAACAGATATCTACATAGTATTTCATTCAGCAGCATCAGAATACACATTCTTCTTAGCAGCACATGGTACATTCTCCAAATTAGACCACATTTTAGGCCACAAGCAAATCTGTTGAAATACAGAAACATTGAGCTTATACCCTGCGTTCTTTCTCAGACTACAAGGGAATAAAATTGGAATTCAACACCATATGTCACCAAAGAAAGTCCTGTAACACATGGAGGTTGAACAACACACTGTCAAACCACCAGTGTGTCATGGAAGAGATTAGAAAGGAAATTCATATATTCATGATATTCAACAAAAATGACATACAAATGATCAGTTCCTCAGGAGCACAGCAAAGGCAGTGCTCAGGAAAATTTATAGCTCTGAGTTCCTACATTCACAAATGGGAGCAGTCTCAAACCGACAATTTAATGATGCACCTGAAGCTCCTTGAAAAAGAGCAATAAGCCATACCCCAACTCAATAGATGGAAACAATTAAAATTAAATCAGAGTTAAATGAATTAAGAGTCCAAAAAAAACCATACAAAGAATCAACAAAAAATTTAATAAAGTTGACAGTCCCTTAGCAAATCTTACCAAAAAAGAAGAAAATACACCCAAATAAGCAAAATCAGAGATGAGAATGGCACCATCACCACAGAAACAACTGATTCAGAACATTATAAGAGAATACGTCTCAAGCCTTGTGCTAACAAATTTGAGAATCTGGAAGAAAAGAAAGAATTTCTAGAAAATATTGATATACCTAAACTAAACCAAGAAGATTTAAACCAACTAAACAGATCCATATCAAACATTGAATGAGAAACAGAATAGGAGACCTTGCATCCAAGAAAAGCCCAGGACCAGATTATTCACAGCTCAATTCTACAAGGTCTTTGAAGCAGAGCTCAACTGATACTACTCCAACTCTTCAATTGAATGTAAAGTGAAAGTTCATTACCAAACTCTTTATATGAGGCCAGCATTCCCCTCATCCCAAAACCAGACAGGAAGTCATCAAAGAAAGACAAGTATAGA